CCTGCAAAAGCAACCTTAAACTTTTGGATACTATCCATCATCAAGGTCTAATACTATGTCTTGGATCTTTCCGAACTTCTATTCACAGTCTGTACCTTGAGGCTGATGAGCCATCTCTTAAACAACGCCGAATTAAATGATCCTTACAGTATGTCACTAAATTACGCTCTAATAACTCGAATCCAGCATATGACTGTTTTTCACCCCCTTTATGAAAATCTGTATCATAAAAAATAATCGGTTCTCCCCCCACTTGGAATAAGACTTCAATGTGATATTTCTGCCGCTAAAATTAATCTTGAAGATATAGCCCCCACGCAGCTTTTGTCTTCTCCACCTTGGCAGTTAATAAGGCCAGAGGTGGATCTGACATTAACTAAATCAAAGAAATCGGAAACAAACCAACTTATTTATCAACAAAAATATAATGAATTAAGAAACACATATAATACTTACAAATCTATATTTACAGATGGATCCAGGACTATCTCCTCCAGGTTACCCCATAATAGTTTTATTTTCACAGCAGAGGCCAATGCCATTTTAAAAGCTTTACAATATATCAGTAAACAGTCAAAATATAAGAAATTTATCATATTTTCCGATTCTCTTTCTTGCCTACAGGCTATCCATAATATATGATGTCAACATCCACTTTTAATCAAAATTATTGAATTATTTAATGAACTTCCTACTGGCAAATACGACATCGTCTTTTGTTGGTTGCCCAGTCATGTGGGCATCAAAGGCAACTAAATGGCTGATGCTGCAGCAAAAGCAGCACTCAACAAATCAGTGACACCACTTCTTATCCCATACACTGATTATAAACCTGTAATCAGATCTTATATTCGTAATCTGATGCAAAAGAAGTGGGACTCCCAAGTAGGTATCAATAAATTACATGAAATTAAACCAAATATCGGTTGCACCTACTTGGGTTGTCAGTCCAGATTTGAAGAGGTCATTATGCGACGATGTCGTATTGGCCATAGTAGATATACTCATGAATATTTATTGAATGGTGTGGATCCTCCATTTTGTGTCCCTTGTGATGAAAGAATCACGGTCAGGCATGTCCTGCTTGACTGTATCGATTTTGCCATCACAAGGGAACAATATTTCAAATCATCTCCTTTAAAGGATCTTTTTACAAGTATTAATTCTCGTTTAATTATAGCTTTTTTAAATGATATTCAATTGTTTGAAAACTTTTGATTGATATGTTTTAAGTTTGGTAGATTAAATTAACAACTGCGATTGTTAGTGGATGTATCCTCGAAGAAAAATTATTGTCCCCCTGAGAGGATACGCAAGTTCCACATCTTTCAAAGTCAATTTAGAACTACCACGTTTTTAACCGTAGAATATGTGTCATTTTAATGTGTTAGGCTAACTCTGCCAATAATCGCCAGCACTTGAAGGGATGATGTAAATCCTGCTGGGGTCCATGCAGGAAGCAAAAGTACTGTAAGTCCTCATGGTCCCTAGTATGGTGATCTACCTTCAATTGCTGGCGATCTATAGCCCCATTTTTATATTGTGTCGTACCTTAAAAATCAGATATTTTTAGTGTTCTACAACTAGTTTTAACTTAATATGTGACATATTGCTAGTTATTATACTGTCCCTCGTCGACAGTTTTTATGACTCTTCTATAACTTGTTCAAGTCACATTATAGCTGAAATATTGCCGCCGTGACTTTAATTAAACTCACTGACTCACTACTCACTATAGCCCGTTTTTATCTTGTATCGTTATATATAGTGCTTTTCTTTATAATGATTCCGGACTAGTTTTATATCTTTTTCTGTGATAAGTCTAGTAATTTTACTGTCCTTCGATGGCAGGTTTTTATATAAGTTCAATTGTATTGATGATGATTAACTATTGATAGTCACGTCTAAAATTATAACTCACAGTTAATCGTAGCATAGGTGTTATTTTAATGTTTGCTAAATTTGTCAATAATCGCCAACAGCTGAAGGGATGATGTAAATCCGGCTGGGGTCCATGCAGGTAGCAAAAGTAATGTACGTCCCCATGGACCCTGGACCCATGGATACATTGTGAGCTCTCTTCAGTGGCTGGCGATCTATAGCTCGTTTTTATCTTGTATTGTTACGTATGGTGTTATATCTTTATGGCTAACTACTAGTTTTAGATATAATCTGTGATAAATCTAGTTATTTTACTGTCCTGCGTTGACAGGTTTTTATTTCGTCTAAATATTTGTATTATTAATGTACTTCTCGTCACGATATGGCTGAAAAACTGCCGATGTGACGTTAAATCTTAACTCACTCATTCTTAAACCATGTCGTTTAAAACTTGCATTACAATGTATCTCTAAATTAAAATAAAATTTCGCATCTTCCCTTCTTGGAAGTATTTCAAACTGAGCTGGTTTGGGGTTCAGAACAAACCCTAATACAACAGCAAATATTGATCTTTAAAGTATTACACATACCGATTAATGTCTACACAACCTTGGCAATTAGTCAAACCAGGAGTAGACCTACCACTAAGTTTTAAAACTGTGCTACAAACCAGCTGCAGTTAATCGTCCTGCAATGAGAGCTAAATAGATCCTCACCGGTCGATCTTCACTGATGGATCTGAGGATGGTTGCAATGTTGTCAGTGCCACTGTGATTTGATCAAAAACTATTTCTTCCAGATTACCAGAAAATAGTTCCATATTTATTACCGAAGGCAAGTTTGTTCAAACAGTGTCGGAATATATTCAGAAACAAAATACATGCAAACACTTCATCATTTCCTCTGATTCCTTACCATAACTACATGCACTTAAGAATGTCAACTCGAATCATACACTACTTTTTGGATATTTTAGAATTACACAATATTCTTGCCACTGGCATCTACATCGTCCTTTGTTGGTGACTTAGTCATGTTGGTATTGCTGGTAACCCACCAGCTGATGCTGCAACTGAATCAGCTCTTTATAATATAATCAGTCTGTCATCAGTCAATTCTAATTTTAAACAATGAATAACATAATATGTTTGCTGTTTGATGCAGAGAAAACGGGACACCCAAGAAAATACAACTAAACTTAAAGTTAAACCAAAATAAGGTTACACCTACAAGGGTTGCCTGTAATAACATGACAAATTTGTGTTGCGAGTCGCATTGGCCAAGTCGTTATTCCCATGAAAAGTTATTGAAGGGTGAGTATCCTCCGTTCTGTGTCTCTTGTGATGAGAGCATCACAGTGACGCATATTTTGCTTGCCTGTTTTGATTTTTCTTTCACAAAGGATAATTACTATCATTCAACCTTCTTAAAAGAAATATACTTATTTGAAAATGTTTGAATGCTTAAATTGTGTTTTAGATTAATGTGATATTATCATCAACTGAGATTAGTGATGGCGGTGCAACGCAGGGTGTTAAAGGAGTGTAAAAGTATTGTCCCCCTGGCAGTGGCACGTGAGCCAATCCAAATGGAAGTATTTAACATCGAATAGTGTTTTCATTCCTTGATTACAGTTTGTTTTTAAAGGATTGATTAGCATTCCAAATAAACACTGGTGACAAAAGTGATGGCATACATCCTTCTGGGGAATCATACATTAGGTAGAATCAATAAGTGAGGTGGTCTAGGCTTGGTTGCTGGTGGCCTATAGCCTGGTTTTAATTTCTACTAAATAATCTACTGAAAATGATATGTTTTACTATTGATCTGGGTGCGGTTGTATATAACAACCTTAGCGCCACTACTGTCGTAAGTCTGTGTTAACGTATGTGAGTTTTGATCCCCTTAGCTCTACGATCGCTTTCTACAACGGCACCCGGGTTTGTATTATACCGAAACCTTGATGCGTAACTCACTGTTTTACTGTCCTTTATTGGCAGGGAGTTTAAACCTGCAATTAGATGTTAGAAATGGGACAGTACGTATTAATAAAAGACATTAAAATAAACAAGAAAAGGCTACAACCACTTGGGTTTCAGTCCAGGTTTGAAGAGGTTATTTGTCATTTTAAGTTCTCGTTTAATTATTTAAAAAAAAAAAGTAAATTGAGTTAATTGATAAATTTTGATAGAAATATGTATTGTAAAAAGTAAATGATTTTTAACTTGGTGGAATGACTTATTGACAGAGATTGTCAGTGGCTTTACCGAAATGGGTACGCAAGTCCCATATCATTCATTTTAACCGGAAAGTGATTGTCGGTTTTAACTGTTTGGTTTCTCTATCTGGCAATTGCCAGTAGCGAGAGGGATTGTGTAAATCCTCCTGGGGTATCAAGTAGGTGATGTTTAACTCACACACTTATTCACTTTGGGAGCAGGTTTTTAAAAAAATAATTAGCTAGTTCTTGTCCCGATATGGCTGAAACATTGACAATGTGATGTTGAATCTTTACTCACACTGACACACTCAATCAATATTTTCATTAAAAGAAATTAAATTGATACTTTTTATGTACATATTTGCTTCTTATAAATTGGTAGTGTAGAATTTTTTATTGAGATTGTTTGTGGCTGTATCAGCGGGAATGAAGTACCATAAATAGTATGTCCCCCTGAGAGGGTAGCGTAAGACCACGCCATTTACAATTTGTTATTCCTGTAGTTTTAATCATAGTATATTTATTAATTTGAATTGATGGCTGAGCAGCTGAAAGGAAGGTGTAAACCCTGCTGTATTGTACGTAACTCCCCACGATTTCTAGTATGGTGACCTAAATGTGGCTGCTGGTGATCTCTGGCCCGCTTTGATATTGTGTTGTTGAATTATACATGCTCTGAAACGTCTAAATATATTTCTAGTTGATATTTAACTTTCGCTAGGATATGGCTTAAATATTGCCGTTATGACATTAAGTTTGAACTCACTCACTCTTATTTCCAAACCGTCTCAGTATAGGGAATATATAGATAACCCCACCTTCACACAAACTCACTCATTCATACACTAAACGTATGTATATGATGCATGCAATTGCTGCATTAAACTGTACTACTTACATCATCCATAACACCATAATATGAAGCCAGTAAACTGCTGTCGCACGCTCCAATTACCATAGGTTCGTTTGATGTTTTTATACTCCCTGTAAAAACAACAAAGTCAGTAAAAGTCACAGCATAATAACATATAGAAACAAAATTAAATGCCGTGTTTTGAAAATCCAAGATATTCAACGAGATACACATACGAAAAGGCGATATGTTGGTAACTTGAGATCTCTGATCCAAAATTATAACTTGATCTGTATTTTCCTACACTTTAAAAACACCCAACCCAATTCACTATTATCCCATTACTATTCGTCAAATTAATTGCCAGGAAACCTGTCACAGATTAGCTGGTGCCGTCATAACTTTATACCTTCTAATGTTAACTGATTTGGATTGCCGTAAAGAAGTGTATTTGCAAACACATTCCTTGATACTGGTTTACAAATCGTATTCCATCCATATCATTCAACACGACAGTGAGTGTCTAACATGAAGATTATGTGTGTGTGTGTGTGTGTGTGTGTGTGTGTGTGTGTGTGTGTGTGTGTGTGCGTGCGTGTGTGTATATATATATATATATTGCATTGATAAGGAACTGAAAGAGATCTATATAAATACAATCAATATACAATACTGTAACTAATGTGTACTAATAATACATGTGAGATCTTACCAGTAAGTGGTCTTTGCTCCAAAAGGTCGTTCACTTGACAATGTAGTTGCTTATTATCATACACCATCTGAACGCTGTTCCACTTAGATGACTGTAAGGGAAATGTAATGTTAAGTATGTAATGTTGTTTATGAACGATCAGTTTGCCCTGCTTGATATTAACATTAATGCTTCCTTTTCTATCATAAATGTGGCCGAAAGAGGTTCACAAAATAGACACATAAGAAACGAGTGAGTGAGTTTGGTTTTACGCCGCTTTTAGCAATATTCCAGCAATATCACGGCGGGGGACACCAGAAATGGGCTTCACACATTGTACCCATGTCGGGAATCGAACCCGGGTCTTCGGCGTGACGAGCGAACGCTTAAACCACTAGGCTCCCCGACCGCCCCCATAAGAAACGAAATTGCCGAAGCCATAGATGATTCCAGCAAATAACATACTAAAAGTACCTTTACCAATCGGACGTTCCGCCCTCATCACGGTGGAATTTTAATATTTCTTTCAAGTTCTCTTTACTGACAAATTAACACGTCACATTTTCGAGAATGCTCCTGACCCAATCAAGTTGTTCTCGGAACAACTGAATGACATTGGTGATGAAAGGATACCAAAGTCCTCTGCAAACCCACACATACGAAAACCATGGTTTGATAATACATGCAAACAAGCTAGAAAGATAAGGAAAAAGGCGGACAGTTTGAATCATGTTAAAATAACAAATGCTAAAGCACGACGTACTTTTAAACAGAATAGACGTGTGTCATGGAGAAAGAATGTCTCAAGGATCAATTCCCGAACACCTATTGTCCAAGGTGTGGAATATGATTCAAATGATTAAAGAAACACTTTCCAAATTTAGCGTTCACCACCTCAACGATGGTGATGGTACACTTACAAATAAAACTGATATCGCAAATATGTGAGTGTTTTACTCGCTAAACATTCTTAATAAATAAATTATGTTCTAAAATTGTAGAAATACCTGAAACAAGAGGAAAAGAAAATTATTCATTTTACCACAGATAATGGTGAAGATTATAATGACGTGTTTTCACTCCATGAGCTACATACTACCAAGTTCATGATTGATACTGCGACAGGAGATGACAATATAAACTACCCCTCTTGAAGCATTTGCCTCAGTCATGACTTGAGACACTTTTAAGAATTTTTTTTAGCAGATTTGGACTTCGGGAAATTTTCTTCCATCATGGCATAATGCCATTGTAATCCCCATACCTAAACCTGGATTATAGACCAATTTAATGAACTAGCTGTGTTTGTAAAACTATTGAACGGATTGTAAATAATCATTTAATATGGTACCTTGAAACCAACAACCTGATTACAAATATTCAATGTGGTTTCTGTAAAAGCAGAAATACTATTGATCATTTTGTACGTTTAGAATCGTACGTCAAAAATGCCATTGTCAACAAACAACACTCTGTATCCATTTAAAAAAAAAAGAGCATACGACGTGGAGATTTACACGATTTTGGATTGAGAGGTCGTTCGCCTCAGTTTTGTATCCAAATTTTTAACAGGCAGACAGTTTCAAGTTCGTGTTGGTCATACCCTGTCTGACCATTATAATCAGGATCAAGGTGTCCCACAAGGCAGTATCTTGTCTGTCACATTATTCAGCATTACGATTAATAGCTTATCGAAAGTTTTAAATGATTCAATTGATGGATCACTTTTTGTGGATGATTTTAATATTTCCTGTCGTGGCAAAAACATGCATAGAATCGAAAGGCAACTGCAGCTATGTTTAAATAAAATCAATAGATGGTCTTTGGAAAACGGATTTAAATTCTCAAAATCTAAAATAAAATGCATTCATTTTTATAGAAAATATAAACCGCATAAAGATCCGGAACTTATTTAAGATAACACTCCTATTACAGTTGTAAAAGAAGCCAAGTTCCTGGGTATAATTTTCGATCACCATTTGACTTTTCTGCCTACATTAAATATTTGAAGAATAGATGTCTGAAGGACCTGGACTTACTGAAAGTTGTCTCAAACTCTAAGTGGGGAGGGGATCCGAAAACCCTCCTTCAACTATACAGAGCACTTATCCGCTACATATTAGATTATGGATCCATCATTTATGGTGGAGCTTGTAAAAGCAATTTAAAAATTCTAGACCCTATTCACCAACAAGGCCTGAGGCTTTGTCTTGGAACCTTTGGATACAAAGTCTGAATGTGGAGGCTGATGAGCCATCCCTTCAACAACGTCGCATTAAATTATCTTTGCAATATGTATCTAAATTACGTTCTCCGAAATCCAATCCAGCTTATGACTGTTTTTAATCCTCTATACGAAAATCTCTAACAAACAAAATCATGTCTTATTCCATCTCTTGCGTTTCTCTTCTCCACCCTGGCATTTTGTAAAGCCAGAGGTGGGCCTAACATTAACTAAACTAAAGACATCTGACACAAATTAACTAGTTTTTAACAATAATATCATGAATTACGAAGCACATATGATACTTTCAAATCTATATTTACAGATGGATCCAAAGATGGTAACGCTGTTGCCAGTGCCACTGTCATTGGATCCAGGACTATCTCATCCCGATTTCCAAATAACTGTTCGTTGTTTACAGCGGAAGCAAAAGCTATTTTAACAGCACTTAAATACATCAACAGCCAATCTAAACATAAACAGTTCATAATGTTTTCCGTCACGATATGGCTAAAATATTGCCGTAAAGCTTTAACTCACTCACTCACTCACTCATAATGTTTTCAGATTCTCTTTCTTGCCTCCAGGCAATTAAAAACATGTCATCCACGGATCCATTTATAATTGAAATTAATGAATTGTTTAATGATCTTGCTACTGGCCAATGCGACATCGTTTTCTGTTGGTTACCCAGACATGTTGTAATCACTGGGAACACAATGGCTGATGCTGCTGCAAAAGCAGCACTCAACAAATCTGTGACGCCACATCGTATCCCATACACCGATATCAAACCTCTCATCAGATGTTACATCCGAGATCTGATTCAAAAGAAGAGGGACACCCAAGTAGGTATAAATAAATTACATGAAATTAAACCAACTACACCTACTTGGCTACACCTACTTGGCTACACCTACTTGGGTTGTCAGTCCAGATTTGATGAGGTCATAATATGACGATGTCGTATTAGCCATAGCAGGTACACAAATGAATATTTATTGAAAGGTGTGGATCCTCCATTTTGTATCCTTTGTGATAAGAGAATCAAAGTCAAGCATGTCCTGCTTGACTCTATTAATTTTGCCATCACAATGGATAAATATTTCAAAGCATCAGGCACTCTTGAAGAGCAACCTCCTCGTGGTGAGTTCTGGGTAACGCTAATAGCTCTTCCCCCATGTGGACTCGGGGTAGAATTTATCCACAGCACCCCATTGCTGGTCGTAAAAGGCGACCGAATTTGGCTACCTGTTTGCCGTGGGTTGCGCCCCTGTGTCGGTGGAGGACGGGATTCTGGTGGTTGAGGGCACTGGAGCCAGGAACAGTGTTCATGTGCCCAACACACCACTTCGACCCTTACTTCACCTAGACGGGTGGTAGAATTGGCCCGTTTCTATCAATCGGCTGGTCACGCCATGCCCTGTGCATGGAATACTTGAATTGACTAATTTCGATATATATTAACCAAATTTGGATCAGGATATATAATAAATTTGATCCTGTTAATTTCAATTTTGCCTAGAGTCCTATGCCAGAAGGCGGTGGCTCACGGGCCAATCTGGCATTATAAACCGCTGAATTCTGTGTTTCTCCAGAAAAGTGTCATGGGCGAACAAGCCTGGCATTTCTTCTGTCAGATTCCATAGCTATTCAAGTTTCTATTTGCTGGAGTATAACATCCCTGTAGCCCTGGTGGTGCAGGCGGGCTTCCACTGCACCATCGTCCTTGTTGACACTCCATGGTGGGTGGGGAGCAGAGATGTCGAAACATTTACTTACACCATGGCTCTTCCCATTCAATCTGGTTCATCAAAGAATAAACGGAGACATGTTGAGTCCTTATCGTCCGATGAAGACTCGTCTGAAATTGTTGACTCATGGCCCAGGTTTATTGTGATCTCATCTTCTGATGAGACACCTTTAAAGCTGAACCGATTTGCTATCTCCTTGGGCATTAAAGGCGTCTGTGGAGAGGTGAAAAACGTAACACGACTCCGAAGCGGTTCACTTTTAGTGGAATGTGCACGGAGACAACAATCTGACAATCTCTTGAAATTAAAACAGTTTGTGAATATTCCAGTTGTTGTCTCAGTGAACCAGACACTGAACTCCTGCAGAGGCATAGTCAGAGACAGGGCTCGTTGACTTTCTGACATAAGTGAGGAGGAAATTGCAGCTGAGCTGAAAAATCAAGGAATAATTGCTGTCAAGCGATTTACGAAAAGGAAAGATGATGGCACAATTACCAAACTAAATACTTATCTGTTTACATTTTCACTTTCTTCAATTCCAAAGAATATAAAAGCTGGATACTTCAACATCGGAGTGGAGGTATACGTACCGAATCCACTCCGATGCTTCAAATGTCAAAAGTTTGGTCATGGGGCCAAGTTTTGCCGTAATAGCTCGGTATGTTCCCGTTGTGCCGGAGCTCATGAGGGCTCTGAGTGCTCCAACAGGATCAAGTGTGAAAACTGGAACGGAGAACACTTCGCCTCATCCAAATCCTGTCCCTTATATGATCGTGAAGCAAAAATTCAAAAAATCAAACACACTAGCAATATTTCATACTTTGAAGCTAAAAAGTTGGTGCCTCTTCCCACCAATTCAACTCTAACCTATTCAGCTGCAGTTTCCTCTCCTGCTCCTGTTGCCAAACCTACCATGAGAACAACATCGTCTCAAACAACGTTATTTTGGGTGGATGAACAGATCATTCTCGATGACCATACCGAGTCTGTTCTTTCTCTGTCAAATGTTTCAACATCAGCCTCGCAGACAGACATTGTAACACCTGCAGAAGATCCATCATCTGAACATGAAATTGTCCCTGAAATAGTACAGGGCGAAGCCCACATGTCTTCAAAGAAAAAAAAGCAATTGAA